TGGGAGATTGGGAATTGGGAATTCCTGGCTGGGCTGCAATTCCCAGAGCAGCTGGGGCTGCCCTGGATCCCTGGAGGTGTCCAAGGCCAGGCTGGATGGGGCTTGGAGCACCCTGGGACAGTGGGAGGAAGGTTGGAATTAGATTCCAAACCCTCCTGGAATTCCAGGACATGCCCAGTCCAGTGGTGCAGTCTTTGAATGCCCCAATTTAATACAAATCACAGCTGATTTCTCCCATCATTTTCACCCTTTTAGCTGCTAAAATATATCCTGTTCTCCGCTGGCTCCCAGGAGAGCAGCCCAGGGTGGGTCTCACAGAGGTGAGAAGCTGAAGTTCATCGGGGCTGGGGGGGTTTGGGATCCATCCCTGGGATTTTGCTGATGCCGGGTTGGAAACTCTGGGGTTTGCATCAACTGACAGCAAAAAATTCCTTCAGAAATGAAGGTTTTGGCTCATGCCAAGCAGTTTGGGGTTTCTGTGATCTCCTGGAGATGCTCACAAAGATGTTCTGGTAGATGTTCAGGAAGTATCTGACAAAAGGAAAATTCCCCCAAAGCCCCTGAGCAGTGAAAGTGTCACTGGCAAAGCCCAAATTCAGAGCCTGCAGCTCCCAATTATCAAAGCTCATTTCTGGGTTTGCCTGGATCCTTCTCTCCTCACAGACTCGACACTGAAGTTTCTCAGTCCAATCCACGTGAAAACTCCAGGATTTTCCTCAGAAGAAAGGGAATTTCTAATGGGCTGGGCCGCTGCAAAGCCTGCATTAATATTGATCTGCCAGCAGAGTCTGGCTCTCAGCAAAGCTCCTTCTCCCAAAAAAGCAGCAACGAAATCCCCGAAGGTTCTTCCCCCTTTTTTCATCCTCCTGCCCTCATTTTGGAGTCGGTTTCCCAAATCCCCGTGCCTCCTCTTTAGGAAAAATCCCCTCTCAGTTGCCAGGGAAACAGGGAGCAGGGAATGGGCACTGAGAGGAGCTGTGGGAGGCAGCTGGGGCTGCAAGGAGGGAGGGAAGGTCCTGGAGCACGGACACAGCTCTGCCCACCCTGGCCAGCTCCCGAATTTTGCATTATCCGGGCAAAATCTTCTCAGCCTTCTCCTTTCTCCTCCACATCTTCCAGCCCACGTCTCAAAAAATCTCATTTATCAGCCGAAGATGAGGCAGAACCTCCTGGTTTTGCCCAAAGAAACCACCCTGTGCCCCCGCCTCAGTTGAGCCTTGTTCTGAGGAAAGGTTTCTCCTTCAGCTCACTGATTTTACTAATCATAAAAATTACAATTCAAAAATTATAACTATAAAAAACTCCTCCCTTCTTAAAAATCTCTCACCTACCTTTAGCTTTCAGGCTTTTTTTGAACACACATAATTCCCAGCCATTGAAAAAAAAAATACATTTTTAAAAACAGACCTTTAAAAAAAACCGCACCCTTTTAAAAAACACACTTAAAAAAAAAAAAAAATTAAAATAATATTAAAAATACAGATTTTAAAACACGGATTTAAGCAAAAAAAAATTCAAAAACCAAATCTAAAAATGCTGTCCCAGTACTAAGATGGCTCTGCAGGCAGAAGGAAAATTTTGGCTGGAAAACTCTGTCAGATCCCGTTTCCACGGCAGTTTTGGCCATGAGCAAAGTCTCTATTTATAACAAAAAAGGGGAAATCAGAGAGCCGAGGACTAAAAGCTCCAAGTTGAGGTATCCAACACAACTTTTTGCACCACGATAAGGAGAACTCAGCTCCTGCTTCCATGCCAGCTGTTTCCCTCTCTCCGCCAAAATCCCGCCCGGAGGAAGCCTCTGGGGTGATTTATGAGGTGACAGCCACACGTGCTGGGGTTGTCACTTCTTCTCCTGGGGCTGTCACTTCTCCGGGGTTGTCACTTCTCCTGGGGTGTCACTTCTCTTGGGTTCTCACTACTCCGGGATTGTCACTTCTCCTGGGGTTGTCACTTCTCCTGGGTTGTCACTTCTCCTGGGTTGTCACTTCTCTGGGGTTGTCACTTCTCCTGGGGTTGTCACTTCTGTGGGGTTGTCACTTCTCCTGGGGCTGTCACTTCTCTTGGGTTGTCACTACTCCGGGATTGTCACTTCTCCTGGGGTTGTCACTTCTCCTGGGTTGTCACTTCTCCTGGGGTTGTCACTTCTCCTGGGGTTGTCACTTCTCTGGGGTTGTCACTTCTCCGGGGTTGTCACTTCTCCTGGGTTGTCACTTCTCTGGGGTGGTCACTTCTCCTGGGTTGTCACTTCTCTGGGGTGGTCACTTCTCTGGGGTTGTCACTTCTCCGGGATTGTCACTTCTGTGGGGTTGTCACTTCTCTTGGGTTGTCACTACTCCGGGATTGTCACTCCTCCTGGGTTGTCACTTCTCTGGGGTGGTCACTTCTCTGGGGTGGTCACTTCTCCGGGGTGGTCACTTCACTTCTGCTGGGGCTGTCCCAGCCCCACTGTCCTGGCATGGCAGCAGCGCTGGCTCCGTGCCCCTTCCCTGGCACTTACGGGATTTCCCGAGCGGGAAAAGGGAACGGGGGAGAAGTTGAGGTGGAGACTGGGGCAGGGGAGGGGTACAGGGAGGTGTGGGAAAGGGAAAAGGTGGAAGGAAATGAAGAGGAACGATGTCATGGACACGGATGGTGCTCCTGAGTTAGGAATTCCTAATCCCAAGCGCTCCTCCCGAGGACACGGCACCTCCTGCCAGCTCGGGCTGTGCCGCTTCTGGCAGGGCAATTCAGGAGCAAAGAACACCAAAACCACTCAAAAAAACCCTAAATTAACTCATCCTGCTGCATTTCTTCCCCAGAGCTCTCCTCCTCTGCACTGCCTGAGGGCTGGGAATTAAACCTTCCAAGGTTTGGAGCCAACTCAACATCGACCCCGGGGCCAAGGTCGCTGCCTGGCACACCAAAGCCACCTCTGCTGGAAGGGAAAGGCTGGAAGTGGCTCCAGTTTTGGGATCTGCTATGCTCGCGGGATTATGGAGCAAAACTCCATGAAAGCCAAAAAAAAATCCCAAAGGATCCCGTGCTCTGAGCTGCGTCCGGAGGAACAGGGCTGGTGGCTGCAGTGGGACATCCAAGGAATGAAGAGAGGTGCCCGTCAACCACTTCTGGAAAGTGATCCTGCCTTTTCCATAAATAAAACTAAAAAAAAAGGAATGTTGGGAAAGAGAGACGCGGTAGCCAAGCGTGGAATGGTGAGAGGGTGACAGCAGGTTTGGGGGAGGGAAGTGGCCTCCCCAAAGAATCCAATATCCCAAAGAATCCAATATCCCAAAGAATCCAATATCCCAAAGAATCAAATATCTCAAGGAATCTAATATCCCGAAGAATCCAATATCCTGAGGAATCCAATATCCCAAGGAATCCAATATCCCAAATAATCCAATATCCCAAAGAATCCAATATCCCAAGAAATCCAATATCTCAAGGAATCCAATATCCCAAGGAATCCAATAACCCAAAGAATCCAATATGCCAAGGAATCCAATATCTCAAAGAATCCAATAACCCAAAGAATCCAATATCCCAAGGAATCCAATATCCCAAGGAATCCAATATCCCAAGGAATCCAATATCCCAAAGAATTCAATATCCAAGGAATCCAATAACCCAAGTGCTGCATAACGCAACTCCACACCCAAGGAATCCAAGATCCCAAGGAATCCAATATCCCAAAGAATCCAATATCTCAAGGAATCTAATATCCCGAGGAATCCAATATCCCAAGGAATGCAAGATCCCAAGGAATCCAATATCCCAAATAATCCAATATCCCAAGGAATCCAACATCCCAAGGAATCCAATATCCCAAAGAATCCAATATCTCAAGGAATCTAATGTCCCAAAGAATCCAATATCCCAAGGAATCCAATATCCCAAAGAATCCAATATCCCAAGGAATCCAATATCTCAAGGAATCTAATATCCCAAGGAATCCAATATCCCAAGGGATCCAATATCCCAAAGAATCCAATATCCCAAGGAATCCAATATACCAAAGAATACAATATCCCAAAGAATCCAATATCCCAAGGAATCCAATATCCCAAGGAATCCAATATCCCAAGGAATCCAACATCCCAAAGAATCCAGTATCCCAAGGAATCCAATATCCCAAGGAACCCAATATCCCAAGGAATCCAAGATCCCATCCATGGCAGCACAGAAGGAACGTGCTGCTGGCAGAGAGAGGCCGCAGGGTGGGAGCCCCAACTCCCACGGCTCCATGGGAACGCTGGGCGACATTTGGGAGCAGAGGAATCGCGTCCTCCGCTCATCCTGCCCTGGGAAGTGATTCCTGCCCCTGAGGGGCTCCTTCCACCTCCGAGCACCGAAATTCCTTCCCCCTGCTGGGCTCGGAGGGCGGTCAGGGATATCCTGGTGGGAGAAGCTGTCCCTCAGCGCCCATCCCCGGCTCCGTACCGCAGCGTGGAGTGCCGGCCGGAGCGGGAGACGCTGTTCCCCACGGGAGAGGGCAGATTGCTGCCCCTGTGCAGGTCCTCGATGGAGCGGCTCCAGGGCTTGGACTTGTCCATGGAGCTCTCCACGCTGTTCTCCAGGCTTTCGAAGTCAAACCTGCAAGGAAACGGGAATGCCAAGGCCGGGCCAGGCCGGAGAGACGCGCGCGGAGTTTTCCCTCCCGCCGTAGCTTTCGGTGGAATCGCAGCGTCACAGGACAAAGCCCAACGGGACCAAGGCGAAGGAAAAGCTCTCCAAAAACCATCAAATCCAAGTGATCCCCCAGCACTGGGAAGGTCACGTCCCACCCAAACAACTCCAAGGTTCTGTGAGCCCAACAGGTGGAATAACGACGGGAAAGGAGAGTTGTGGTGCTGGAGGGACACGGAAAAGTCCAGGGAAACAGGATGAGCTTTGCACGGGGAAGGAAATTCCACACCAGGTTCATTCAGGTTGGGAAAAGCCCTCCAAGACCATGGAATTCAACCATTCCCAGCCTTGCCAAGGCCACCAGTGATCCTTGTCCCCAAGTGCCACATGCTCGGGGCTTTGAATCCCTCAGGGACACATCCAAACAGGATCTAACAGCTTCTCCAACATAAAATAAATGCAGCACTGGCTGCTTGCTGAGGAATAGCCTTGCCTGGAAGGAAAAGCTGGGAATTCTGGGGGCTGTCTCCAGTGAATCTCCATCGATCAGCTGTGCAAGTGCCACCTTGGTTTCCTCCAGCCCAGTTCGGCCCCACAAACCTCCCAAAACACTCAGATATCACCACAACCACCCCAGATTCTCTGATTTCTGACTCCTAGCCCATTGTTCTGCCATTCCAAGCAGGAATTGCTTGTTCCCCTTCCAGCTCCTGAGGTTATTACTCATTTTCCCCAAGCAAAAGGGGAAAAACCCAGTGAGCTCCTTGCGTACATTTGTATAAATTTAGGAAGAAAGGCTTTGTACAAACATTTCTTTTCGCTGTGCACGGTTTTTTCCAGTGGGTAACATTTGAAACCATAGGATTTTCCCTCATAAATTTTCCTGCAACCCCACCACAAATCTCTTTTCTGGGCAGTGACGGACGTAAATCTGATGGCAGCCTCGCTAAAAATAAATTATCGGCTCTCCCCAGCTTGATTTTCTGTTCCAAAATTATCTTTAACCTAAGGCTTCTCTTTCATTTCTATAGAAAAAAAAATCTGCTATGATACCCTGGATGACTGTGGATAATTCCCCATGCCTGGAGCTCTCCACGGGCAGCTTGGATGGGGTTTGGAGCACCCTGGGGTAGTGCAAGGCTCCCTGGCCACGGCAGGGATGGGATTTAAGGTCCCTCCCAACCCAAACCATCCCAGGCTGATTCCATGACCATAAAACAACGTCTGAGCTGAAGATCTCCACTGAAAACTCATTTTCCCTGCTGGTTTTTCAGAACCCACCTCATGATTTATGACCCAAACAACTCAATCAGATCCCAAGGTCCCAGATGTCAGAAAAAAAACCCTTTATTTCCAGTCTTCCCAACTCCCAGAAGATCTCTGGGATTGCTCCCGAGTTGTGCTGCAGCACATCTGCTGCCCAGCAGCCCGGGCTGCTGCCGGGAGCAGCTCCTGCAGGGAGGGAATCCCTCTGGACCCAGCAGGAATACAAACCCTGGGCTCAGACACCAACTGCAAACCCATTTTCAAGGAATTCTGCATCTTTCCACACATTGTGGGATGGCTTCTCCACCCCTAAGATGCTCGGAGACCAAAGAGAAAAAATTAGGGATAGAGATGAATAATCTCAAGGTTTAAATTCAGGTTTTTGGGGTTGTTTTTTTTTTGTCTGCTGCGATGAAATAATTCCAGATTCACATCAAGATTCCCTCTGCTCTCAGGCCCACAGAATCATGGAATTATTGAGGCTGGAAAAGACCAGAACCACCAAACACTTCTCTGCCCACCAAAGCATTTTTTGAACAATTCCAGGGATTAGGATTCCACCACTGCCCTGGGCAGCCTGTGCAACACTTCACCCCTTTGGAATGAAGGAATATTCCCTAATATCCATGTTTTTCCTGGCAGGAAATCCCAGGAATGTCTCACTTACGTGACTGCATACTGGGCAAAGCTCAGGTATTCCACCAGGACATCCAGGCCTTTGTTCTCCTCGTTCAGGAACTCCCTGACCCACCTGGGAGAAGAACACCAGACATTAGAGCCGTGCTGGGGCTTTGGGATTCCCTGGAATTCTCAGAAAAACTGGAGTCAGAGCCACTGCAGCACTCAGGGGAAAAATAAAAAAAGGATTTTCAAAATGATTTAGACTTCAAAGAGTCCTTTGGATGCTTTGCAAATGAACTGAAATTCAGGTTTTTTGCAGCACTCTGGAGGTCAGCTCCTAACACAGGAACGTGGCTCCGTTTTTATCTCATCCTGGTTTCCAGCAGGCTGGAAAAGCAGGAAAAGAATCTCTGATGGATACCCTGGGTGTGCATTTAACAGCAATTCTGCCTCTCTTTTTTAACAGGTGTTCACCTCTCCCAGTGAATTCTGGCCCCTGGGCTTTGCAGAATAACTCAGGAAAGTCTGTTATGTTCCAAGATGTTGAAAATGCCGAGAAAAAAAATGGAAAATCTCTTTAAAACTGCAAAGCCAGAGGGGAAAGGAAGCTCAGCACAGCCCCAGCTCTTCCCTGGGGCAGCAATCTCCTGGGAGGGGCTGGGTGCCGCTGGAATGACGGAATCCGGGCAGGGAATGGGAATTCCGGGCTCGTGCAGAGGGAATTCAGCACCTGGGACGTGCTGGGATTTCAGGAGGGACATTTTGGATCAATTCCCCACGGAAATAACCAGCCTGGGCTTCCATAAAATGTGTTTGGGAAAGAATTCCTCAGCCAGGGCTCCCAGGGGAATGGGCACCGGGGCTGCTCCCTCTTTTATTGGCTGGGCAGCACCCAGGGTCCTCCTGCTCATCCCAAATCCAGCAGCACCCATGGGTGCTTCAGGTTCCTCCTGCTCATCCCAAATCCGGGAGCACCTATGGGTGCCCCAGGGTCCTGCTCATCCCAAATCCAGCAGCACCCATGGGTGCCCCAAAGCCTCCTGCTCATCCCAAATCCAGGAGCACCCACGGGTGCCCCAAAGCCTCCTGCTCATCCCAAGTCCAGCAGCACCCATGGGTGCCTCAAGCCTCCTGCTCATCCCAAATCCAGCAGCACCCATGGGTGCCTCAAGCCTCCTGCTCATCCCAAATCCAGCAGCACCCATGGGTGCCCCAAAGCCTCCTGCTCATCCCAAATCCAGGAGCATCCATGGGTGCTTCAGGGCTCCTGCTCATCCCAAATCCAGGAGCATCCATGGGTGCTTCAGGGCTCCT